CATGGAGGATTGGGTGGGTGTTACGCCCGGGTCTCCTAGTCAAGAGCAATCCATTTTTAGGCTAATTATGGGTGATGTCGATGACCCTTCTATGGGACTAAACAAAATTCTTCAGTCAGGAGGTGGTTCGCATGATATGGAGTTCAATGCTGGTTTCGGTGTAGTGGATCAAGGTTTCACCTTTGAGTCCATTACTACTGGTGGCAACTTGGTAAGCAACATTGACTCTCATATAGCTGGAAGTTGCTCTGATTTTCCCGGTGCCGGTTCGGTTTCGGCCGCGACAAATCCTGCATTTACATCTTCACCACCCAATCTTTTGCCTACTTCACTCGCTCATGGTGTCTTTGAACAGCAGCCTCTTGAAGCTTTGGATGAAAAGCCTCAGATTTTCAATCCACAGATGATTTTAAACCAAAATCAAACTCGGTTTACTCAAAACCCGACTATGTTCTTGCCTCTTTCATATGCTCAATTGCAAGAACATAATCTTTTATCACCACCGCCGCCAAAGAGATTCAACTCTGGGTCAAGCGGGCCAGACTCTCAGGTCTCTAAGGTTCCGTTTTTGGATTCAGGGCAGGAGCTCTATCTAAGGCACCAACAGCAAAAGATCCAAATGCTTCAGCAAGGGCCAACCACAATCAAATTGGCTGCAACAGTGAAACCGAAAATTGTTAGCGATGAACTGGCTAACCAGCAGCTTCAGCAGGCAATAATCGACCAAGTAATCCAGGCCGCAGAGCTGATCGAAACCGGGGATTCGGTACTCGCGCAAGGGATATTGGCGCGGCTCAATCACCAGCTCTCTCCTGTAGGTAAGCCATTTATCAGAGCTGCTTTCTACTTCAAGGAGGCCTTACAGTCACTACTTCCTCTGAATGCTACCAACGCATCGGCTTTGTCCACATATAACATGATTTTCAAGATTGGTGCTTACAAGTCATTCTCTGAGATTTCTCCCATTGTTCAGTTTGCAAATTTTACTTGCAACCAAGCACTTCTTGAGGCTTTTGAAGGGTGTAGTAGAGTTCACATAATTGATTTCGATGTTGGGTATGGTGGGCAATGGGCTTCTTTGATGCAGGAACTTGTTTTGAGAAATGGTGGTGCCCCTTCTATGCAACTCACTGCCTTTGCTTCTCCATCCGCCCATGATGAGATAGAACTTGGTTTCACCCATGACAATCTCAAGCACTTTGCTAGCGAAATCAACATGGATCTCGACATTGAAATTATGAGCCTCGAGTCCTTGAACTCTGGTTCTTGGCCGTTGCCTCAGCGCTTGAGTGAAAATGAAGCAATTGTTGTTAATCTCCCAATTGGGTCATTTTCTAATTATCCTTCAATACTGCCTCTGGTCCTCAGTTTTGTGAAGCATTTGTCACCCAAAATTGTAGTCTCTTTAGACAGGGGTTGCGACAGAACCGATGTCCCATTTCCTCACCATATAATCCATGCACTCCAGTCCTATTCCGGCCTCCTCGAGTCCCTTGACGCTGTGAACATGAATCTTGATGCCTTGGAAAAGATTGAACGGTTCTTCCTTCAACCTAGCATCGAAAAGATCGTGTTGGGTCGACATCGTTTCCCGGAAAGAAGACCTCCGTGGAGGAGTCTGTTTATACAATCTGGATTCTGTCCATTAACATTCAGTAACTTCACCGAGTCCCAAGCTGAGTGTTTGATTCAACGAACTCCGATTAGAGGTTTCCATGTCGAGAAGAGGCAGTCTTCACTTGTTCTTTTCTGGCAGAGAAGAGAGCTAATTGCTGCATCATGTTGGAGGTGCTGAGCATATCGGTGATTCTATCAATTCAACTTTGCATCAAAGGTGCTTCACAACTTCCTGCTTTTAGTTTCTGATCCTTGTTTTCATGCTTTTAGTTTCTGATCCTTTTTTTCATGCTTTGAAGCTCTTGTTGCCTGTGGTTCTCTTAAAGGCTAATTATCTATGTACCATCGTAAGCCTATTGTTTCCGTTCGAAAACATTTTAGCAACTGTATGGCTGTGTACAGCTTACTTGGGATGTGGGTATAAGTCTCTGTTTTGGTTCTTTATTCCTTGCTAAGTTGCCCTTTTGTTTTGTTGCACACTGAACAACAAAGGCAAAAACAATTTCTGGGTAATGAACAACTTTCAATCTTTTAATTGTTCATCATGTCATCGATTTTCTTTATGTTACACAACTTATTTTCTGCAATTAAACTTATATTTTGGTTAGGAAACCCATAATTGAAAAGGAGAGCTTGCTTAGACATCTTTCTGTTAGCTTTTCCCATCAGATAATCCTTTTCATGTTCTTGATAAGCACAATTATTAAAGCAATAGGATATATATGTATATTTTATTAATTTACTTTTTGGGAAGTTTACATGCGAGTCTGTTAAGTGGATTTTACTTGAGGGTGTTGGTATTAATCATGAAGTAAGTTGGTGGATTTATGGCACCGAAATCCTAAATTCCCTCTGGTTCTGCATTAACCCAACCTTATTAAATAATGATAATACATAAATAATATTGTTATGTCAGCTTATAGTTGATACTATTATATCTAATAATAATATGATATTTTATGCATGCCATATATGAATTTCTATTCTAATGTTTGGTTAAAACTTTATGAATTTTTTAAATGCATCTCTTAATATGATCACATGGGTGTTGTACCATTGGACCCCCACATAACTATTAATTTTTTTTCTTAAAAACACAATTATATTATTTAAGGATAAAGACAGAAAGTGAAATGCTGTGGCTCATTATCAACCATAATAGTTTATTGTCTAACAGATTAGTTTTCAAAATTGCTAAATTATTAATTAATGCCAATTTGTTTAAGAGATGGAAGAAATAAGGGTTTGGGGTCAATGTTGAAGATAGCGACAAGCCGACTGACAGAGAGGCGGTAGTTTAGTTAGTGAGTCTGATCAGATATATAAGCTTTACCTAAGCAATGATGAAGACAAGAGCTTCAACTCTGTCTAAAAACTAGCCAATAGCTCGGCCTTGTTGCGACGAAGAACCAATGGGCCAATGTAACACCTACCACTACTATAATACTAGTTTCTTTAACTGAATAAGTCCAGGTTGATATGTACGTATACATGTTCAATTCAACTTCATGCATGTTATGCTTTTATAGTCGGTTATGACTTTCCCTAGAGATTCCAATTTCTAAACTTGACAAGGAAGAGTTCAACTAGAAGTGAGCAATCAAAATGTTTTACTTTTGACACTCGTCTTTTAAGTTTTTATCGCATATATATTTAACTCATTGAAAAGCTCAACTTAAAATGCAATGGGACCTCGAATCTCATATGGTCGAGTAATATGAGGTGGCAGAATCTCGGAAAACCAAATTCAATGCCATGATGGAGCTGCCCTTGTTTCCTTTTAGTAATCTCAACAGCTGAAAGCAAATTCTTCCAGGGATTTGAAGAAATGAGAGAAAGAGCTCCACATTTTGCTTGGCATCTTCTTGATATGGAAGCTCATAAAAGTTGCACACTTTTTTTGTTTGTGTTTTTTTTTTTGTTTTTGAATCTGTGAGAGAAAAAAACATCCTTCCGCTGGCTGGAAAGTATAATGATAAACAACTTTCCATTAAGGAAATGAAGTAAGCACTTTTGTCCTGATGAAGCCTCCTTGGAGTGAGGAATTCAGTTGTATAGTTTTTAAGAACAAAGATATGCTAAAGACTCGACATATTTGCCAGCTTTTCCACTTCAAAAACATGTCTGTTGGGTCTGGTCACTGACTAAAGCTGAATGATCCCATATAATTGATTGAGTATTCATTAATACGTTGATAAAAGTCTGTATGCAATATGAAATCCGATAATCTAATTCTATAAATGAACAATAGAGCATAGAAAACACAACATGGGTCCCTTTGCATGGGTAAAGAATATCGAGAAGGTTAAAAACATTTAAAGCAATAACCCTTCGGCCTAGCTAATTAGTTACTGATGCATGGGAATGATAAAATCTTGTTTGAATTTGGGCTAAGACAGTTTATGGATGTTAATCTAGAATTATACCATTCTCTTATGTTTGTTAATTTTTTATTTTAAAAAAATAATCATGATACCCGAATCATCATCAACTATGCGTATACGATCGTCAGTGAAGTTGGATTAATTCGTCGGCAATATATCACGTTGCCACTAGGAACAATGCACATTACTAGAACGTATATTTGCTTAGGGTAAGCTGTAAAGAAGACAGAAAGTTTGAGGATATGATTTGTTGCCGTAAGTTTGATATTCCTTTTTGTGCCCTATAAGCATGCTGTTGATGCTGTCTTAGCAATGAAGCAATCTCTTGATGTGTTGCACCCAGTTCATGGATCCCCCACAATTTTTGCAACCATGTAGAGGTTTCAGTTCTCAACATGTAGAGGAAAAGCACAATGATTGCAGCCTTTTTAACAGGCGGGCCATGATCCATTACACACAAATCAAGTAATCAACGACGTGCTTAAACAGATAAAAGAAAAAGGAAGACATTACAAAAACAAATGAAGCAAAAGCCAAAAGACCTTGTGAGCATCCAAGGAGATACATGGGGCAATGAAACATTAGAGTTTTTCATCAGACAATCATATTTTGTTCCCATTCACAGGTGGTCGCAGTCAATGGTTTGCCAATGTCAGAATTGATTTCCAAACATGTTCAATAACACATGCAAATTATAATTGCTCCACGCTTCAAAATGTCTAATTCACTCTCTCTCTCCAACTTTAATAGATGCTTGCCCACCATATCTTCATTGTTTCTTTTCCGTCATTTTCTTTCTGCATTTCTTATAGTCAGCTTAAAAACAACGCATTCGTTGCGTCCCACACAATGGTTTTTCTATTTGTAAATTGTCATTTTTTTTTCTTTCCATTTTATACCAAAACTAAAAAGTCAGCACTCAATGCTATGTCAAAAGCCAATTATGGTAGGCCCTCCATTAACAAACACATCCTAATTGGTTTCTTTATTTCCCTCTCTCTTCCTACTGAAGCCTATCTCTCTCTCTCTCTTGTTCTAGCTTCCATCCTCTCCTCTTTTAACCGGTAGGTTGTGGTTTATTGGATATTGGAAACTGGAGAGTTTTGTGTACTTGGATTTTTGGAGGTTACTTGCGCTGTTGATTTCCTTAGATGAAGGCCATGCCCCTATCCTTTGAGGAGTTTCAAGGGAAGGGGGCGTTAGATTCTTCTTCTTCTTCTTCTTCTTCTTCTTCTTTTTCTTGCTCAGATTCATCTCTCTTACTACAAAACCAGCTCCATCATCAACAAGCTAAGTGGCAAAACAGCAAGGAAGGTTTCTGCTATGTGGGCAGTGAGCCCACAACTACTAATACTAGAAGAAGCCCGAGTCCTCCAACATCTTCCTCAACACTGTCGTCCTCTTTCGGAGAAAGCGGCGGCGGAGGCAGCGGTGCCTCCACGGACAGCAGCGTCGTGGCGGCAGCGAAAGCTGTCTCCGGCAACTCCAACAGGTGCAGCAGGCAGCCTGTTGATGTAGGAACGGAAAAATGTGGTTTAGGCATGGAGGATTGGGAGTGTGTTCTGCCGGGGTCTCCTAGTCAAGAGCAGTCCATTTTGAGGCTAATTATGGGTGATGTGGATGAACCTTCTATGGGACTAAACAAAATTCTTCAGCCAGGTGGCGGGTCCCAAGATATGGAGTTCAACGCGGGTTTTGGTTTGATGGATCAAGGTTTCTCCTTTGAGTCCATTACCAGTGGTGGCAACTTGGTAAGCAACATTAACCCTTCTATGGATATGGTTTCAGCCCCATCAAATCCTGCATTTACATCTTCACCGCACAATCTTTTGCCTACTTCACTCCCTCCCGGTGTCTTTGCACAACAGCAGCCCCTTGAAGCTTTGGATGAAAAGCCTCAGCTTTTCAATTCACAGATGATAATGAACCAAAACCAAGCTCAATTTACTCAAAACCCTGCTATGTTCTTTCCACTTTCATATGCTCATTTGCAAGAACATAATCTTTTATCACCACCACCGCCTAAGAGACTTAACTCTGGCTCAAGTAAACCCAACTATCAAGTCCCTAAGAGTCCATTTTCGGGTCCAGGGCAGGAGCTTTATCTCAGGCGCCAACAACCGACCCAACTGCTTCAGCAAAGGCCTTCAGCTGTAGGAATGACAGCAACAGCGAAGCCGAATATGGTGAGTGACGAATTGGCGAACCAGCAGCTTCAGCAGGCAATAATCGACCAACTAATCCAGGCTGCAGAGCTGATCGAAACTGGGGATCCGGTACACGCGCAAGGGATATTGGCGCGGCTCAATCACCAGCTCTCCCCTGTAGGTAAACCCTTTATCAGGGCTGCCTTCTACTTTAAGGAGGCTTTACAGTTAATCCTTCGTTTGAACGCTACCAACACATCGGCTTTGTCCACGTATAACATGATTTTCAAGATTGGTGCTTACAAGTCATTCTCTGAGATTTCTCCAATCGTTCATTTCGCGAATTTTACCTGCAACCAAGCACTTCTGGAGGTTTTTGAAGGATGTAGTAGGATTCACATTATTGATTTTGATATTGGGTATGGCGGGCAATGGGCTTCTTTGATGCAGGAACTTGTTTTAAGAAGTGGTGGTGCCCCTTGTATGAAAATCACTGCCTTTGATTCTCCTTCCAATCATGATGAGCTAGAACTTGGTTTCACCCAGGAAAATCTTAAGCACTTTGCTAGCGAAATCAGCATGGCCTTCGACATCAAAATTATGAATCTCGAGTCCTTGGATTCATGTTCTTGGCCATTGCCCCTGCAGTTTGCTGAAAATGAAGCAATTGCGGTTAATCTTCCAATTGGTTCATTTTCCAGTCACCCTTCAACTCTGCCTCTGATCCTTGGTTTCGTAAAGCAGTTGTCACCCAAAATTGTAGTCTCTTCAGACAGGGGTTGTGACAGAACCGATGTCCCGTTTCCTCACCATATAATTCATGCACTCCAATCGTATTCCGGCGTCCTCGAGTCCCTTGATGCTGTGAACATGAATCTGGATGCCTTGGAAAAGATTGAAAGGTTCTTCCTTCAACCTAGCATCGAAAAGATAGTGTTGGGTCGACATCGGTCCCCAGAAAGAAGGCCTCCATGGAGGAGTCTGTTTATGCAATCTGGATTCTCTCCATTAACATTCAGTAACTTCACCGAGTCTCAAGCTGAGTGCTTAATCCAAAGAACTCCGATTAGAGGTTTCCATGTTGAGAAGAGACAGTCTTCACTTGTTCTTTGCTGGCAGAGGAGAGAGCTAATCGCTGCTTCAGCTTGGAAGTGCTGATGATTGGCTCGTAGTGTCTCATTTTTAAAATTTCTGTTGCCTAAGCTTCTGTTTAATCTAATTCCCTGTGTTCCTTAGGTCTTATTATGTCGCATCAAGAAACAAAACGTTTAGCATTTGTATGGCTTTGTACAGCTTAATTCAGATGTGGGTATAACTCTGTTTTGCTTCTTTTTCCTTGCCTAAGTTGCCAACAAAGGCAAAAGAACAACCTTTAAATTGCTTGATGAAGCCATCAAATCTCTTATATTTACTCATTCAATTCAATGAATTGTTGTTGAATCCCAGCACTAGATCATTGTTTTCTACCAACCCCTGTTTTTTCAATTTTTTGGTTGGAACAGATAAGTGAACAAAAAAGGCTTGTTCACACATTCCTGTTAGCTTTTCCAACCAGATCATCTTCATCAAATACGACCTTACTACTTTTAGGTGGCGTATAACTTGACAAAATTAAAGTTAGCTGTATTTTTTGCCCATGCTAACTTGTAGGTGTTGGTATTAATCATGCATGAACCAGGTTCATAGATTTATGGCATCCAATGCCTACACGAATTAACTAAAGCTTGCTACTGCTTTTCATCAAGTGGTTGAAATAGATAATTAGAGTTTTCCTTTTTAAAAAGAAAATCATATTATATATGATAATTTAAGCATGCCATTGCCCCTAACAAACATTAAACAATAGTAATAACTAATATTTTATCCAAACAAACATTGAATGTGTGATGATTATTATGAAAACGACCTTGCTATTGTTGTCTTTATTGCCGTAATAATTTGTTCCGTGGTTGTATGAGATAAACTCTTTCTAATTCCTTTTATTACTTGGGACGTATATACAGAAGAAATAGACATGTTCAATAATGATGTTTTATCCGTCTTAATTCTAATTTCAATTATATAAATCAGTCTCCCGAGTGGTTGGCTTTTGTTGTTATTCTAAGTTAAAATATGGTATAATTAGGGATGAGTGGTTTGGTTTTTAATACTTGTTATGATCTCAATTCAAAATTTCTTTCATGATATTTCATTTGTTTTGAATCTACCCTGAATTTTAAAGTGAAAATTTACGCACCCATTATATGATATTAATCATTTTTTTTATAAAATAAGTATATAATTGGAATATATATAGAGGTATTATAGCAATTCTTTATATATAAAAAATACATAATAATAATTATCAGGATTATATCATTCTTTTTACTCTAAATCACTCCTACTCTCTCCTTCACATGATTTGTTTCGTCCCACCTCAAACCCAAATTAAAAAATATTTTATAAGATCAAATTGAGTCAAAACTTTCAAATTCATGTATTTTTATCATCCTTCCCCATGAAATAAATAAAAAGAATTGAGATTGACCAACAGTTTAGTCCTGTGATATATAGATACAAATAAGTAGGGATGGTAATTTTTTCTGATCATGATAGATCTCGACCTAACCCGTTTATAATAGGATTTTTTATATAGAAAATTAGAGGATGAGATGAGTTCTTTTGAGATTGGATGGAAGTTGGATTTAAAAGAAACATGCCATTATTCATTATATTTAGTAAATTATTTAAAGTTTTTTATTAAATCTTGCAGGCTTGAGATGAATAAAGTTTTTTTCATTATAAAATATTTGGAATTGGGACGAGGTTAAATTGTATTAGATGGGAGTTAAAACATCAAAAACTATATTTTCATTATATGATGGCAAATTCAAAAAAATTAAAGTAGATTAAAAAATCTAATAAGTTAAAAATCCAGATTAAAAATAAAACTCCATATTAGCAATCCCTATAGACGGGGGATAGTTGAGTACTGAAGCAATTAGGGATGTAAATGAGACGAGACAGATCGCGAGCTATTCGAGATCGACTCGATCAAGGCTCGATAAATACTTGGATCGAATGGACTCGACTCGAGCTCGACTCGATTTCTTAACGAGCTGAAACGAGCTACTCGATATTCGACTCGAAAAGCTCGTGAGCAGCTCGAAAATATAATATATTAAGATTTTATTTTAAAAAAAATAAATTAATAATAATATTAATATTAATATTTATGTATTGATTTTTTTAAAAATAAATACAGTAAGATTTTATGTATTTAAGGTTCATGTTCGAGTTTGAGTTTGAGGCCTTAATCGAGTTAAGTTTAAGATTTTTTTTTCATTTCGAGCCTTTTCGAGCTGCTCACGAGCTTCAGTTCAGAATTTCGAGTTCGAGTCGATCTTGAAAATTTTAAACTTGTGAGTTTTCGAGTCGAGCTCAGCAATACTCGAGCGGCTCGTTTACACCCTAGAAGCAATGATTAAGACATGAGTTTGTGTAAATCCCCAGCAGCTTGATTTTGAACCCATGGGCAAATGCAACCCAACAGAGGGGGCCTAAGAAGAGTAAAATGTCGTGATCTTGCGTCGGGACGTTCAATGCGATGCCAGTCCAAACACACAAATGGGGGCTACCATTTTTGCTTTGTAATTTTTGTAGATTCAGACCCAAAAATGGACGCGGAAACATGTCCATTTTCAGATCACCTACAGGCCGTCCTACTGAAATGTCTTTGTCGAGTAAGATTAAGCAATCTTTACGGTCTCATTCATCGCCTCAAACTGGCACCAGAGGACACATTTTTCCTTTCTTTCTCAAGGAATCCATTCCGATAGAATTGCATCTTACTTGACTAAATATTTATTTTATTTAAACATTTGTTTGTTGCCTAACAATCATAACTAGGGGTGAGAATTTTTCAAGTGCTGTTTACTACTCTGTTAAGGATTTATCTGAAAAGTATTCAAGTGTAGTCTATCCGATAAATATTTTATTCATTTGATTTCTCACACTTAAAAATGTGCCAAGTTCACACAATCTAACTATAGAAATTATTGAAGAGTTCACATTAAGAAACAATTAACTATCGCTTACGGTACGACTCAAACATATATATATATATCTCAAGCATAGACGTACGCATTACACAACATTCTAAATTCAGGGTAGCTTTCGTTTAGTTTTACAATTCAACTACATGCACATTGCACTTGCTTGTTGGCTATGACTTTCCCTGATGATTCCAATATCTAAACTTGAGAAAAGTGTATTAGGGAAGAGTTGATATCAACTAAATGCTTTTCTTTTGACATTTCCCATTTTAAAGTTTTTTTAAGACCTACATGTCACAGACTTAATCTCTCAATAAGCCTCGTGCGACCTTAGCTCCTTTTCCCCCCTCGCGATAGCTAAGTCAGCCTCACTCAAACTCGTGCTAATGTGGGAAAGGATTGGCAAGGAAACAAAGAAGAAAGGAAAGAACTTTGAGAGAAAGCTTGTTGATATGCTTGAAAGCTTACAACTCTTGGATGATTTACAAATGAGGATTCTACATCTATTTATAGCCTCCCACCTCCTCAATGGACGGTGGAGATTGACTTGATCCTACGGTAGGGAGAGATTCTCTAGAATTCTCCATAATTTCCTACCTAACATGGAAGACTCTAGAATACTTCTAGAATATGTACAAGTCTTGAGTGTTCTGGAATAATCTACACTATTCTATCAACCTCCAAGACCAAGTGTGGCCCAAAATAGCCCAAAGTGTGGGAAAAAGCCCAAGTTCGTGACATTCTCCCCCACCTATTCTGACGTCGTCCTCGTCGCCTCGAACGCTTTGAGATGTTCTTCGAACTGCCATAAGTATTCAGCTAGTTCCCATGTTGCCTCGGACTCTGGTAGTCCTTTCCACTTGATTAAATACTCGGTACGCGGTGGGACTCCTCTCTTACGGACCGTTCTGCTTGTGAGCACCGTTTCCACCTCTTTGTCATAAGACTTGGTTACTATGGGAGGTGCTCGATGCGAATACCCTCGGCTTGCGTCTTCCTTGTCGGTATGATATGGCTTGAGCATACTTACATGGAAGACCGGATGAATCTTAAGTGTACTTGGCAAGTCTAAGCGATAACACTTTACCCACCTTGGCAAGTACTTGGAACGGTCCCTCGTATCTACGTATTAGTCATTTTTGAACGCTTTGAAGAGCTTTGAACTGTTGTGGTAAAAGCTTCACAAGGACTAAGTCTCCAATAGAGAACTCTCGATGTCGCCTCTTCTCGTCCGCCCATTTCTTCATCTTCTTCCGTGCTTTCTCCAAACATGCGCGGGCGATGTCGGCGTTCTCCTCCCATAACTTAGCCATCTTGGCGGCCCCGGGACTCTTACCCTCGTCAAGTGGCATTGTTAGTGTGTACGGCGTGAGCGGTTGTTGTCCGGTCGCAAGCTCGAACGGACTCCGACCTGTGGCTTCACTCCGCTGCAAGTTATAAGAGAATTGAGCGACGTCTAGCAATTTAGCCCAATCTCGCTGGTTAGCACTCACAAAGTGCCGCAAGTAACACTCTAACAAAGCGTTCACCCGTTCGGTCTGCCCATCAGTTTGAGGATGAAAGCTTGTGGAGAAATTTAACTCGGTTCCAAGGAGCTTGAACAATTCCGTCCACAGGTGTCCGGTGAATCGAGGGTCTCGATCACTAATGATGCTCCTTGGTAAGCCCCAATGCTTCACGACATTCTTGAAGAATGCTCGCGCGGCCTCCTCCGCAGTGCAATCCTTGGGGCATGGTATGAAAGTCCCATACTTAGAAAATCGGTCCACGACGACCATGATCGAACCGTATCCCTCAGACTTGGGTAATGCACTAATAAAATCCAAGGTGATTGAATCCCAAGGTCTTTGGGGAACTGGTAAAGGTTCGAGTAATCCCACCGGCTGTCGGTTCTCTACTTTGTCTTGTTGGCGCACAAGACAAGTCTTCACATAAAGCTCCACACTATCCTTCATATGGGGCCAAAAGTATGCCGTCTCTAGCAATGACATAGTGCGCTTTTGACCCAGATGACCGGCCCACTTGGTGTCGTGGCATTCTTTGATAAGGTCTCGCCTTAAGTTGTCCCACTTTGGAACATAGATTCTCCGTCCCTTGGTGTAGAGTAGACCATCCCCTACCCAAAAC